CCTGGTGGACACTAGAGAGAATGCAGCTTTAACACATGAAGCTTTCACCTCTTCACTAGAACCGGAGGTTGTCTCCTGGATGGTTTGAGCAAAATAATCAAGTTCCTAGAATACAGTTAAGCTGAATTTGAAGAAAGCTCAAAGAACTCTGTAAAAAGCCAGCTATCTGTAACTTAAGTCTAGATGTTTTTTTAATGAGCTTCCGTGACTTAAATCCAGCTGTTTGTGTTGCAGAGCCGGAAAGAACGAGCCGGAGCCCGAGCAGCCCGTACCCAGGAAGGTGGCCATCAGGAGTCTGGCTGCAGCCGAGGAGATCGACCCCGACGTCCTGGAGAGCATGCACTCTCTGGGCTGCTTCAGGGACAAGGACAAGCTGAGCAAAGACCTGCTGTCTGAGGAGTGAGTGAAGAGGAGGAGGAGGAAGATTAGAGGGGGGGGGCTGTCAGAGAAATATACGAGACGGCAGAGGAGCCGTCAGTTTGATGAATCCTTCTGTTTAACGTGTCTGGTGATGATGGAGCATCTTAACCAATTAGCTCTCTCACTGTCTCCTCCTCCTTCCAGAGAGAACCAGGAGAAGATGATCTACTTCCTGCTGCTGGACCGCAAGGAGAGGTACCCGAGCCATGAGGACCAGAACCTGCCGCCTCGCAGTGAGATCGGTAAGTTTATGACCACGTATCCTCAGCTGAACTTTGTGTTTACTGCTAACGTGCTGAGCTAAGAGAGTGACCACGTTAGCACCATGCTAGCATCACCTGCTGAACATCAGTGTTAACATGTTAGCATGCAGCTCAAAGCACCACTGTGAGTTAGACTGTTTATTATTGATGTAGAAACAAACACAATATACAGAAGTAACAAAAGCTCATATTCTTCATTTCTATATCAAATATATTTTCACGTTTTTAAGAAAAACAGACAGAACAGCAGATAAAGAAGCGTTTAAAGTTCAGAAAATGAAAACAAGATGACCACGTCTCAGACTCCATCTTGGTGTGCCCCCCCCCCCCTCTCATTGACCTTTCACCCTGCTCAGTGGACCCTCCCAGGAAGCGCGTGGACTCGCCCATGCTGAGCCGTCACGGGAAGCGGCGGCCGGAGAGGAAGTCCATGGAGGTGCTGTGCGTCACGGAGGGGGGGTCCCCGGTACCGGTGAGACGGGCCATCGACATGGCGACCCACGGTCAGAGGTGAGAGAGACGGGGACGAGCACGTGTGTGTTGAGCATGGCCCAACACACACACACACACACACACACACACACACACACACACACACACACACACACACACACAGAGGTCCAGCTGATGATGGGTGAATGATGTATTTAATCTCAGTTCAGTGAAATAAAGGACGGAGGTTTCAGATTAAACTTTGAAATTGAAGTCACGTCCTCCGTCTGCTCGTCCTCGGTACGACCTCGGCTCACTGCACGGCTCTAAATCCTTCCCTCCTTCTCCCAAACTGCGGTTAAATACGCGACGCCGCTTTGAGATGCGTGCAGCACAAATCACAGAGAGACCTGACGTTCAGTGCGCCGTCAGCTCTGCTGGAGAATCCTTAAAACGCATGAAGAAGGACGGTCAGGTCTGTGTGAGCACGGAGCATGCAGGCAAAGAGACGAAGAGGACGAAGCTTTGAGAGGATGTTGACCTGATGTGTGTGTGTGGGAAGCCGGTGCATCAAGTGACAGACACGATCTAGTTACTGTGGATGTTCTCACTGTGATCAATATGAAAAGGTTGTTTTATGCTCTGATGCAGAACCTGCTTCTTCTTTATGTAAATCCAGTTTCCTTCATGTTTTAGTCCAGTTAATAAAAGTATTCAGTGCTTCACGTCTTTATAGTTTCACTCTTCATCCTAACAGATAAGTTAGTGAATGAGTCTTCTTCTCTGACGTTTGTATTTGTCCATCACAGAGCTTCACGTGAGCAGGTTCAGGTTCAGGTTCAGGTTCAGTTTGAGCGACTAAAGTCAACGTTTGTTATCTTTGTGTCTGAGTTATTATTGACTCATATTATTATAACATGAACATACGGATGGTCGTTAGTTTTAATGTTTGATCGACTGCCGGTTGATATTTTTAGTGTCTTTGTTTCCAGACAGGAACCTGCAGAGACTCCTTCTCTTTGGGGTTTATATATAAAATAACTTATTCAAAGTTGATGGAAGATAACGGCTGCCAGAGAGGTTAGAAAAACAGAAATATGCTTTTGAAAATGTTGATCTGTGATATAAAGTATACATGACTGGTAGTTAAGCAGAGTATAACAACCCTTATAAATATATATAGGTATTAATTCAATGCCGTGACTGAAACAGAGAGGCTTTATGCTCATATTTTCACTGTGTTAATAATATATAAACGTTTCAAAAAAGTACTTTGAAGGATTCATGTGAGGCAACAGAACAATGTGAAACAAGCTTTTCATCAAGAAGAGTAATAATTTAAGGCAACAAGCACTAAATAAGAGATGAAAGGATGACGTCGCATCACATCAAAGTGAATGAAGCTGCTTGTTTATGGAACAATATCGATTTCTATCCTCTAATCTGATCCAACATTCTGCAGCATTATGACAGAAGTTCAGCTGTTTCATATCTGTATTTCTTAATTTAACGTCAACATTGACCCTAAAGTTTCGGCTAACTGACGCATTAAGAGCTCGTTAATGAGGCTCAACAACACAGTTGATTTATTCACTTCACCGTTAAAGGTCAGCGGTTCAAAAAGCTGAAAATCTGATCCAACATCCGTCAAGATCTTCATCGTTTGAACCCTTCACAGTGAGGAAGAGTCATTTCACACTCAGAACATCAGTCTCTTAGAGGGTAGAATCTAATGTTGACATGTGAGTTTAGTCGTTTTAATAGAGACGTCACTCAGAGAGAGAATAATCTACACTTTTCATGTTGTGTTGGAGATTTAGGATGAAGAGTAAAACCCTTGAGTTGTGCTGATTAACACTAATAAGAAGCTTCGTGTCTTTTTGTTTTAGAAGAACAGAAAGTTAAAGTTAAGATGTTCGCAGCTGTTTATCCTGTGGAGGCAAAAAAAACACCTGACGTGATATTTAGAGAAATATTCCTTAAAGACTCGGAACATGGAGGAGGTTGAAGTTGGACAAAATAAAAACTGTGAATAAAAAACATGAATTCAGCAGCTACGACAAAAGCTTTTGTTCAAAATTAAAACAACGTTTTGAGTCTTTCGCTCTGATTCTTCCTCTGACGGTGGCTGAGACTCATGGGTAATGTAGTATTTACAGCAAAATCACAAGTATCTCCTTTGTCTTTTATACATTCACTTCTTTAATCTCAGAGAATGTTACATTTATTTATCACAAATGTATTACTTAAATCTCTATAATTGAGTTTTTAATAATTACTTATTATTGAAATAGTCAACAGGCTCAAGATCTGCTTCCTGAACAAAAAAAAACACTATTTTTATGAATTTCTTCTCGTACATTTATGACTTTATAATCTCAGAGAATATTGATTTTTCTCGTAAATTCGTGATTTTTTTCCTCGTGAATTTACCACTTAAATCTCTGAAATATTGAGTTTCTTCTCTGAGTATTACGCAATCTACTCATTTAGGGAGATGTAATCGGGTTACAAAACAAAACTAAGGTTTAGGCAACAACCGTCACGGTCGGGGTTAAAATATGTGCATAAAGTTAAGTTCAGGCAGAAAAAACACAACACGACGACTTCTGTTTCATTTGACACAAAACCAGCGGATCTTATTTCATGATAGTTGACGAGCTGCTGTGATCCGGAGCTGTGTGGTCGACATGTTTCATATCCTGTTTGTCAGACCTTCATGTAGACGATGCTCACCAGCAGACGTCTCCTCGCTGACGTCCAGCAGGAACACATGACGTTGATCCAGTCGTTAGTTAGTTGGTTGACAGTGAGGC